GAGAGAGAGAGAGTGAGTGTGTATCTGGGCAGGGAACTGCAGTCGGATAATAAGTATTGTTATTTGTATTACTGTAGTGCCCAAGAGCCACCCTGATGGACCAGGCCCCCTTGTGCTCGGCACCCTACAAACACAGATCAGAAAGCCAGGTCCCTGCTCCAAAGAGCTCACAACCTCAGCACTGGAATGCAATACGGAGGTAATTTACTTGCATAAGCTACCATCTAGGAACCCCCCTGAATGCTCACACTCAAGCTTAACTCAGAGCAAGAGATGATGCCTCCCACTCCCACTGGGAACTCTAGAGAACAGGGGAAGGCGCTGGATGTGGTTAGGGGAGAGCTCTCACCTGCAGTTCAGTTCCTGGATGCCAGGGGCGAGCTGGAAACATGGATCTGGTTTGGCTCTAGGACCTGCTTTAGGTCCTTCTGTAGGACCTGCTTTAAAGGACAGATAGAAGCAATTCCCCCCCACCCCCAACTCAGAGATAGTAGCATGCAGGGAAGTTATCCCAGTCAGTGGGAAGGACCTTGGCCCGAGCTGATCTAGTGACCATCAAAGAGGGATGGAAACAATGGCAAAAAATATGGCGGGGCCCTATGCAATGCCTCCTTCTATGCAAACTGTGTATCTTCAAACTCTTCCCCCTTCTACCAGCTAAACAGATTCCCTCCAACCCTCCCCTCGCACCCGGGTCGTGAACGTTAGGAGAGAACTCCCTGCTCAAACACCCCCGCCCCCCGACACACCGCTCATCAGGGAGCAACATGTAATGGCTCAAACCTGGAAATGTCACCTGCTCCCACGCAGGGCATTTCTCCTGTATCTGTTTTGGTAGAGCGCAGAGGGAGGGCTAAGCGCTCCAGCAGGAGCTAACCAAGGGAAAGCAGCACGAGCCAATGAGCAGCTGAAAACCTTCCCAATCCTTGCAGAGAGATGAACGCAGTCATGCCTCCTGCAGCAAAGCCCACGCTAAGAGATCTTCCCTGGGCAGTGAGGCTTACTGTTTGCCTAATAGCTGACTCTGGCAATGGCAACAGCCTGCTACTTACAGGTAAAGGAGCTCTTCTTCAGCTCAACTAACCAAGCCATGTGCTTTGGGGGCTGACAGTCCGGGGTTCTATCCGTGGTGGCGTCTCTGTATATTGTCTCCTTACCAAATGGCACCCTATCTGTTATGTGGCAGAAATCAGTGGGTGAAAAGTTATGGATCAGACCCGTTGATCATGATGGTCCCTTCTGACTTACAAATCGAGGAATCTAGACAGGTGGCAAACTCCTGCAGCCTCGGGACGCTGGTTCTGTGCATGGGATTGTGTTTTGCTACAGTTGCTGGGGCCAATCAGTATATAAGCCTGCGACTCACTCACATACGAAGGAGCGCTCCCTCCGCTCAAGCGGCGGGGCTTGTGGTTCTCAGGGCTGGAGGTCCTGGGTACCAACCCTGGTCATATATATGAAGCCAAAGCTCACCATGCCCCACACCAAAACATTCCGTAGGCAGGGAGCAAATGACTTAAATGAACATCTGGTAAAGAGAATAAACGTTAAACACTAAACTCCCTCCCCGCCCACCCTGAGTCAATCTCATGGTTTTGAGGGATCTGACTTGTGGGTTTTGAACATTTGGGGCTGGTAATACTGCGATCAGGTCCAGATCAAAGAGGATATTGCTTGTTCCTGATACAGCCTCGCTCCCAACAGCTGCTGTCCTGCACCCTTCTCGGGTCAATGATTATAAATCAGAGAAGAGACACGCCCAGCCCATCTCAACCAGCTCTTGCTGTGGTTAACAGTTCCCTGAAGCATCTGCTGCTCTAGGTTCCACCTCTGGCTGTGCTCCGAACAGATGAGCGGTTCCTGACACAGTAACTGAGCTTCCTGGAGCACAGTGTTGGCCAAGACACTGACGAGGAATACTCTACGGATCCCCGCCACATGGCGGGAGAAATAAATAGCCCTGCTACCTACCCGTAACAAGCAAGCGGAAACCGCGAAACATTATACCGTGCTAAACACCAGGCAACACGGCGCCGGCTCTGCTCCCAGTGGAGGTCAAAGCTCCCACACTGGCACCGGGGATGGGGCCCCAAAGGAAGATCTCAAACAACTTCAACATGCAGTACACATATTAACCGATCCTCTCAGCAAGCTGTCACTCCCATTTGACAGATGGGGAGCTGAAACACGGAGAAATTAAGTGACCAGCCCACATAACAAGTCACTGACAGAGCTGCAGTTAGAACACAGGACTCCTGGGCCACTACACTGATCCCTCGGGATCCCAGCCATGGAGCAAGCCAGCTACAAGGAGAAGCTGTTCAGATGATAAGCTGTTTGGGGCAGGGATTGTCTTTTTATTTTCTGTGAGTGCAGCAACTTGCACAATGGGGCCCTGACCCCTTCATCTGGGGCCTCCAGGTGCTTCCACAAAGCAAATAAAATCCAGAATCATTTATGTGTATGACAGTAGTGCCCATAAGTCCCCATGAAATCAAGGCCCCGCTGCGTGGTGTGCTGCAAACACATATAGTAAGAGGCAGCTCTTGTCCCGAAGAGCTTACAAACTAAACAGACAAAAGGTTGGAGGAGACACAGAAAGGGGAAGAGACTTACGCAAGTTCATAACCTGTATCTCCTGAGTCCCACTCCAGAGTCCTAGCCTCTCCCAAGCCCGCCTCCTGTCCTGCAGTTTTGCTTTAACCATTAGCACACACAGGCATAAACAGAAGCAACCTGGAAAGTCTGGTAGAAGCAGGCATTTCTCAAGGGTAGAGTCTCTGCAGATAGGCACCTGTACAGCACAGGACCTTATGCCGTTTTCTGGACATTTTGCAAATGAGAAACAGTCTAAATCTATCTGCGGCTTTGGGGAGAAAAAAACCCACAATCTGTTGGCTCAAGATCTGAAGGCAAGAGTCATGTTTGTGAGCAGCTGTGAAGACAGGGTGTCCAGCAAGAAACAATTACGTTCACATCGCCTGCAGGAAGATTCCATTAAAGGAGACAAGAGTCCCAGCACATCTCTCATCAGCTCAGTGCTGCTGATACCGATTCAGGCATGAGTCAGAGAGTCAGAATATCTCTGTATATTAACCTCCACGCATGTAGGGAGCGGAGAATGCCCTGGATTGGTTGTTGTAGACGTACACTGTAAATGCACAAGCCTGCTTGCTTCCACTGCTGTTACAGATACCTTCAATTTCATAACAGCTATCATTCTGCTACCTACAGTTCCTACATTGCTGGACTCTGTTCCAGCTTTCATTCATACACTACAGCCACCTGTATGGCATGGCTGTCTGCTGTGGCTTTACCAAGAGATAGCTTTTCTGGATTGACCAGATCTGGTCATAGATGAGGAATCAAAGTACAGGCAGCAGGAAGAACGAACCTTTGGCTTCATGATAAAAACCTGCCGGTTCTCTTTAATGAAAATCCCTCCCACCCCCGCTCCAGTCAGACGCAGTGTCCTGCAGAGATGCACACGATCCAGGCCCCCTTTCATATGGATGGCTCCAGGCTCCCTGTCCATACCCATGTGATGCTCCCACAGCCTCCTGGAGTGGAGGTCCAAGAATGGGAAGCGACTCTACGTCACGTTACCTCCAGATCCCTAATGGTCAGACCCTTTAACAGCGATTGGGGATGCACCAACACTTGAATCTTTCCAATAAAAGACTAGGAGACAGCAATGGAACATGCCCTAGATTGCCTGGGGCCGCAGCTGCTTTGGCAGAACGGTCTTCCTCAGGGTTTTCTATTCAGTTCATGCTAAGACGCCTCCCAGGTCTGATGTCTCAGGCTGTGTAAGCCATTAATAAGCATGCCCCTGCCATATTCCTCTGCAGCATCGCTGCATTGCCAGCATCTAACTTGTTGCTTCACAAAGTTCATTGGGACGGGAGGTGGGTTATGACAGACACTGTCGCAAGCCCACATTCATTTCTATTCTTTCATTCCACGTAGGGCCAGGTGCTATTACAAAGCGGTGCCCACGGCAACGATCTCTGTGTCCCAGCACAAGGAGGAAGTCGAGGTTGGAGGACAGCCGTGCACGTACGCTCACCACACACATTCATGCACTGGGGGACTGACATGGCGCAGCAGCGGAGTACAGCGTGCGTAAGTGCAAGGCATAAAGTGCCGCGGAAGTGCAGGGGACCCTGATCTATGAACCTGCAGGCTGCCAACTTACTCCTGCCTTGTAACAGGGGTGAGGCTAAACAGGGGATGTCACAGCTAAGCGCATCAGCCGCAGCACGAGGATCACATGTATGAAAATACCTCCTTGGCCATGTCCATTCTATGCCCACATGAATACCTCTTTTACATCCTGTGCACTTGCTCGCAAGAGAGTAGGCCTGGATGGTGTTTGAGCACTGGGTCAAAACCTGGCCCTTAACCTCGCTTGCACCACCCACCTTATGTAGCCTCCACTTGCACTGAATGGTCACCACTTTACACCCCATGCTAGGACCTGCAGGATCAAAGCTAGAGCATGTGCCGTTACAGGAACCCATCTGGGAGCTGCGCTTACTTTTGTATTCCAAGTGAAATCCTGCGGCGGACACGCTGATATCGGAGTAGAAATGCAGATAGAGCTGGTTCGAAGTGCTGTTCAGCAAAGCAGGCACCGTCGTACCTGAGAAAAGAGGAGGGATGCATGGGACTGTAAGGTGTTTTTTTCTCCTCCCCTTTTTATTCCGAGATTTGCTGCATAAATCTGAGAAGAATCTGAGAACAGAAAGTCCTTCAATTTAACAGCCCGCTCAGTTTGAACAGGTTCTCATGAGTCCAGGAGAGGAATAGCCAAGAACGGTCGGAAAAGACGTTTCCAAAGCCTAGAGACACATTTCATTGCGTAAAGTCTTATCAGCCAGAGAGCAGCCGGACTGAGGGATTGAGAGATCGACTTGGTGATGAGCTTGAGTGGGAGTGAAGCTTCAGTCGCTGGGGAAGCCAGGAGTACATTACGCCGCCCCTGTTAGCTATTAAATTAGCAGGTGCAAGTGTTTCTATCTGATACGTGGGACTGAGCGCAGCCCTGGACGCAGTGACCGCTACTTTGTGAATCTGACCCAGAACCTTTCATCTGAGGATCTCAAAGCATTAAAAAAATGTTAATCAATTAAATCTCACAATGCTGTGAATAACCAATGGAAAGTTTTTGCCAGAAACACTGCACCCAGGTGTTGATTCTGCAGGGAAGGGGTTAAAAGGGTTCTGGTGACTCAATGCTGCAGGTGACTTGTTACCCCATTTGGATGTAAGGTAATCTCATTCTCTGGGATGAGAGGATCTAGGGTGATGGCTGAGCGATACTGAGGGAGAAACCATATTAGCAACCAAGTCTAGAGAGAAAGCTTGAGTTAGTTTTGATGTTCTCTTTTTCCTGTTTTCATTGTTAACAAAGAAGGTGGCAATCTTGGACTTTACGCTGTACAAGCACTGGGTTGGTAGAGCAGTTTAGGGAAAGTGCCATAGTATTGTACCCATTTTACAGATGAGTAAAAATGAGACACAGAGGCCTTATCTAAAGCACAACATTTTGCACCCAGCAATGGTGCAGCTTAGTAATGCTAGCAATGGTGAAAGTGCTAGTGCAGACAGGATTTACAGCAGGTTTTCACAAGCAGGGTGGTACAAACACCTATGCCCTACATTAGCATTTACACTATTGCTACTGGAACATTGCTGGAAAATGAGTACAGCACTCTCTAGTGCAGACACACTCAGCAAAACTAACTGACCTTTTCAAGGTCACCAAGTGACAGGTCAGTCCCATCGCTGGAGTGTAAGAGGCAAGAGTCCAGACTCCCAGGTCCTACTTACTAGACCACTTTCTTCCATTTTCCCTAAGACATGGTACTGCTGTTACCAACCTAATAACACTACGAGGGGAGGGATAGCTTAGTGGTTTGAGCATTGGCCTGCTAAACCCAGGGTTGTGAGTTCCCTCCTTGAGGGGGCCATTTAGGGATCTGGGGAAAAAATCAGTACTTGGTCCTGCTAGTGAAGGCAGGGGGCTGGACTCGATGACCTTTCAAGGTCCCTTCTAGTTCTAGGAGATGGGATATCTCCATTAATTTAATTTAATTTACAAAGGTGACCAGCCAGTGCCACGTTTAAGGTTCTCTGCTGGCATCTTCTGAAGTCAACCATAGCCCAAGGCCTCAATTCAGCAAAGCACACTGTCCCATTTAAGCACATGCTTAGATCCGTCCCTAGTCTGCAAAGCATTTAAACATGTGCTTATCTTTAAGCATCTGTTGCAGTCCAGTTGAAGTCAATGGAAATTAAGTTTGTGCTTAAGTGCTTTGCTGAATACTGCAAATAGGACTTTAAATAGCCACCTACCAGAGAAACTTCCCAGCATGGTGACTGTATTATCCCCTCCATCAAACACTTCCAGGGAATCCCAGTTCTGCTCAGTGACAAAACTGATCACTTGAATCTGAAACATTAAACAAAGAAAAGAATATCATTCACTTAGTACCTATGTTGTTAATAGGCAAAAGTAATACCAACCACAGAGTCATTAATAAAGATAACAATAGGTCCCGTGGTTTGATCTCACTAGGAACGGTCATTCTGCCCGTGATGATGCATTACCAAAGTTAACAGAACTACAGTCTCAGAATGTCACTGGTTGGGCTGAGTGAAAGGATTACAGCGAAACCGGAAAGCATCAGTCCATATACTGGGCTTGATCATCAGCAGGTGCAACCTGGCACAGCTCCTTTGACTTCAGAAGCTGATTTGCACCAGCTGAGGATCTGGTCCTGTGCTTCAATTGGGCAAAATTCCTGCAGAGTTCTGTAGGTTTTCACACTAAAACGTAATGTTTTCAGAAGGAAGATGCTCTCACGTACAGTAATGCCAATGCCCTGTGATCAGAAATTACAAGACTGGCTTGAAACTCATGATACGATGATGATTATTTTTAATTGGGGGTTCTTCATATTTTCCTTTGGTTTCTGAGCCTTTTGGGTGCACTCTAGTCTTGTTTTCAAGCTTTCCCCTACAACTAGAAGTGCTGGAAATTTACTTTAAAAATGAAAACTGAGATTCTTATGTAATCACATGACTCCAGGAGCAGGGGCTTCAAAAATCACCAAATAAATAAAATTGCTACAGCATTCTGAAATAGCTCCTATTCTTCAGCAAGAACACCTCCAGTGATTACCAGTGGATTTTTTTTTTCTCTTGATGCCTTTTCAGACAGATTCTAATAGTATTTCTGGGGACAAGGAATTCAAAGTGCTGGAGAAACAAGTTGCTCTGTGCTTCTAGGTTGGCATTTTCAAGGCAGCCTAAGAGAGCTAGGGGCCCACCTCCCACTGAAAGTCAAAGGCAGTGGGGCACCCTTAGCATTCTTTGACAGTCCCCGGCTTAACAATTATCCTATGGCTACAATTTTCAAAAGTGGGGGCCTAAAGTTAGTCACCTAAACCCATATTTAGGCTCCTATACAAGAGGCCTGGATTTTCAGAAGTGCTGAGTTGTGTGCCCACAATTGCCATTCAAATCTATGGGGACTGTGGTTGCTACGCCCCTGACAAAAATCAGACCATTTACCTAGGTGCCTAACTTGATGGAATTTTGTACCCATATTTGGGCATTTTGGCTGGCTGGATAGAATCTCTCTCATTTCCACGGCTCTTGCATATACGTATTGCTGCTATTCACTTGGATGATGTAAATACTTCTTACCAATCCCAATGCTTATGATCAGCAGAAGTCCCGTTAAATTCAATGAAATTACTCTTTTAAGCACTGAGCTCAGCGGGAGGCAATTTGCAGGACTAAGCACTTACAGGTACTTTTAGACATGACAAATCCTGATTTATATATAATCACACACACTCCCAGACAACCCTCCCCCCTGCCCATCTGGAAATCCTACGAAAACACCCCCATTTCCTCTAAAATGCCTACATGCTGCATTTACAAATCCAGTCCAAATGCCTGACTTCCTTTTGCCTGCTAATGCAAAGTTAAAAAAAAAACCAAATCAAACCATTATTTCTGGCATTTTAACCTGTTTTCCTGCTTGATTTACTCTGAATGATAAAATAACTTTGCAGCCTTTTTTTTTTTAAACAAATGGAGTCTATCTAGCTGGAATACTAATGACCCCTGTGGAGTCATTACCTGTCACACTGACAGAGTCAATACCTGTGTCAGCCTGCATAACTGCACCCCAATTATTACTTACATTTTTACAAAGGAAAGTGGGTTTCATTTGCGGTCTTAAAATTCCTTTATTTATGTTTATAAAGACAAACATTTTAAGGTTCTAATTCTAGACTGATGTGGATTCATGAGGGAGCGGCATCTATTTTCTGCCATGTATAGAAATTAATTCACAGGAAGATTTGCTCCCAGAATGAATAATTCATGGCAGAAGTGCGAGCTGGTGCATTGATTACATAAAAACCCCTGCCGTTGACTCGCTGCTGTTAAGAAAGCTTTCGTTTCGCCTCCTCCTCTGATTTACAGGTTTTTTAACCTTTAATTGTTGTACAGAACGGGGGGTAAACTGATACTTAAATTAGTATCTAATAACTCTGAACATTTCACACACAAAAGGAGGTAATTGGGGGGATGGGGCACATGAGGTGCTCAGGGCTAAGTGGCTCTGGTTATATTGTGGTCCACCTCGGTGCAGAGAGCGCCTTGGGGTGCATAAGCATAACTAGATGCCAGCTTTGCTTCTATGTTGGTCAAACACAGAGCGATCGCTCTTGTTCTGCCTTTACTGCATCCCTTTTCTTGACGGCTCCCGGAGGCCGACTTCATGGTGACATGTTCCACCTGTCAAAGCCCAATGGCTCTTGCAAACTTTCCTTCAGCTGAGAAACTTCCAGCAGAGAAAAAGAATGGCAAATCAACATCAGCTTCCTCAGCAGAAGGGGGTCACGTCATCTGGATTCACATCTCTGCCCCTTGTTCTATGTGCGTCTTCATGAGTAAAGCTGAAGGGGCTGTGGCTCTATCCATCATCCATATCCCCACTCATACCGTTAGCTAAATGCACTGTGGCCCCCTGTGAAGAGTGGCATGGGTAGAAGTGCTGTTCCAGGCTAACAGAGTTATTTCTTTAGCTCAA